ACGCACAGACCCAGAAAGAAGGTCCGGCTCGATGTTTAGGTCTCAGATGATCTCAAAATCAACATTATATTGATGAAGATATGATGACAATAGTAGACTAGAAAGGGAAAGTCTGTGAAAATCCAACTAATTATGTTAAAAATTATGTTAAAAACCCTTTAAAATGGTGGAAGACTGTTGATGGTCGTTAAAGTGTAGTTTAGATGTTGCTAGGCGGTTGCTACATTATCCAAGGTGGATGGTAATGTGTTGCTAGGCACTACCTTAAATCCACTGCCACCTTAAATTTACTATCTTATATACAATGCCACCTGAAATTCACTGCCCCCTTAAATTTACCGATACATTAAACAGACTGCCACCTTAAAGCTACTGATAACTTAACTACAGTTCCAGCTTAAATTCACTTATCTTTACGCTGCATTGATCTTAAAGGCTACTTTTATTCTTTTGTAAATTGTAAAGTGACAACAAATCTCTCTCTGATGACTAACCAATCCTTGGCAGCAGAGCCAGAGGAAGCACCACACACACCGTGACCAGAATCAGCAAAATAACACCGTCTTCATACCACACCCTGCAAGAGAGAGAGCAAGAGAGAGTAGGAAGAGAGGAAAAAGACAACTCAAAGTGAAGGAGTTACACATTTGATGTTTTACCTTATAAACGCATACACTCATTCCAAATTTGTTGCCTGCAACACGTTCCAGAAAATTTGGGACTTGGCAGTCATTTGGGAACAGAAACAACTGATCCAGTTTTGAGAGTGTTTTTGTTTGCGTTTGTCACAAGTCTTCAGCTGCGCAACCATACAAGGCCTTCACTGGCATATTTCATTCTTCATAATGTGCCACAAGTCTGGCGCCAGCACGCTCAGCCACACTGCTGTAACACGTGCAGCATGTTTCTTGGTGTCATGCTGAAATAAGCATGGACGTCCCTGAAAAAGACGTCGTCTAGAAGGCAGCTTATCATCACTGTCGGAAACCTTGTATCTCCAAACTGTAACTTTACACAAGAAGAAAAAAACCTTCTTAACAAGATTTTTTGGACCATTTCTGTTCTTTGTAAATATTAAGACAATGCAAAGGGTAACAGGATCTTCAAATGTAAAAAAGTATGTAAAAAAAGTAAAAAATGACCAAAAAAATACTAAAAGTCTAAAGGCTGAAGATAAATTACCACACTGCTCCATAGCGGTCAGGGTTTTTAAACACAACACAGAATCAACCACTGTCTGCCATGAATCTTTGCACGTAAACTGTTCATTAAAAATCGATACTGTGTTTTTGAGAATCGATACAGCATCACAAAATATAATACTGCAATACACGTTTCCACTGAGCATCAGTCCATTTCAAATGAGCTCTAGACAGTGACTGTGTTTACATGCACTTAATAATCTGACAACTGCAGAAAATCAGACTGTGTCAGTAACAGGTTCTGTATGTTTTCAAGCTCTTAAGTAATCAGATAATGGAGAAATGGGTCAGTAATCAGATTTCTGCTCTGCAACCAGCCAATAAACTGCCAGAATAAGACGGGACGTAAACATAATGTAAAGCTCAAACTTCATGACACGGCTTTTTTTTAAAAACATCAACCTACTGTACCTGAAAATATGAACATACATCATCTAGAAGATGAAGAATATTTAAATCCTTCATTTCATCAAGCATATATTTGGTTTCAGTGTCTCTCCGAAAGTGTTTTGCTGCGTTTCGTGGCGACGCTGCTCACTTATTTCCGGTACCACCGTCTGTTTTCGCACATGCTCAGACTGAGAAATCCGAAAGAAATCAGAGTAAGAGTTTACAGCACTGAGAAATCTGATTACTGAGCTAAAATCCAGCCTCTTAATCAGATTTCTTAATCAGATTTCTAGACCTTACTCCAATCTAAGAAACCAGAGTGTGCTGTTTACACGACCACTTAAATAATCAAATAACTGCAGAAATCTGAATATAATCAGATTATTAAGGGCAATTAAACGAGCTCATTGTTGACCAATGCTGCGCGAGGTACAGTTTTAACTGAAATTTGTTCTGTGTTGTTCACCAAAATATTTTCGAGCCCATGCAGACACAGAGACATACTTAAAATCCTACACTTTTAAAAAGATGGTTCTTCTAGAGTTCTTCATTAAAGGCCATCTATTTAGAACCATGAGTTCTATATAAAATAATCTGAATGCTTAAATGGTTCTTTGCATTCTTTGTTCGTATGTGTTGTATATGATTCTATATTGCACCAAAAAGGGTTCTTTTATTGTTAGAAGTTTGACATTGCAACAGCAGAAGAACCCTTTTTGGTGGTTTATAGAACCATAAACAGCACATTCTCCATCAATCTGACGGCCATTTCACCATGCAAAGAACCATTTAAGCATGAAATGCTTTTATATGGAACTCCTGGTTCCAAAAAGAACCACTGCTTTTAATAAAGAAGCCGCGAAGAACCTTTTTTAAGAGTGTAGCAATCGCTAGTTGAGGAACCTGGTTCTTAAACTGTTGGATTAACTCCTGATGCAGTTTTTAGCGAGTTTAAGATGATTTTAGAGTGTAAGACGTTTATATATACACACACAAAAACAACAAAGCTGAAAATGTACAACATTAAACATCTTTTCTTTGTGTTGTTTTCTTTTAAATACAGGTCAAAGTGGATTTACAAACCTGTTTTTGTTTGCATTTCTCATTTCTCTGTCCCGATGTTTTTGGAATTGAGGTTTGCAGCTGTAAACATTTCTCTTGGCTCTCTAAGAGTCCTGCAGTGCTTTATTGCATTAGAATTATCTTACAGTTCATGTCAATATGTTATCCATACATTCCTAACACAACAGGCCGGTCTGTGTTGAATTATTGTTCTGGGGAAAGTCCCCTGTTCGTTGCCCAGATGCGTGCGGGTCTCTAAACTCAGGCCGACAGCGCGGCCCTCTCATGTGGAGCTCCTCTGTGAGTCACAGGCTTCAGCTCACAAACCAAAACAATTATGTGATTCTCCTTCTTCTACAAAAAAACAATCCCGTCTCCTCCGCACCGCCGAGCAATTAGGGACGACCAGCGGTTATTTTGACTGGATGATGCATTGGCAAAATAATGTGCATGTGTGTGTGTGCGTGTGTGTGGTGTGTGTGGTGTGTGTGTGTGTGGTGTGTGTGTGTGTCTGTCTGTGTGTTTGTGCTCTGCTCCTCCCACATAACCACCATTGCTGGCTGCATAAACTGTTTCCTAATTGATGTGACCACTAATGTTTCCCAAACACCGCAGCATCTCTTCCACATGCAGATCAGTCGGGAGGAAAACAGCGACAGTACAAGCTCCAGTTCAGTCCCGTAACACTCCAAACACCCGACTGACGACTTTATCAGTCTGTGTTACCGTCCTACCGAACTGAAGCCTGAGCACCGGTTCTATATAGAACCGTGAATACTCGAAGAACGATTTGCATGCTTAAAGGGTTCTCTGCATGGTGAAAGGTTCTTCAGATTGACGGAGAATGTGTTGTAAATGGTTCTATATAGCACCAAACAGGGTTTGTCTATTGTTATGATGTCAAGACTGTAACAACAGAAGAACCCTTTTTGGTGCTATATAGAACCCTTTTCAAAAAGGTTCCATATAAAACTATACCCAACACATTCCCCATCAGTCTGAAGAACTATTTCATCATGCAAAGAACAATCTAATAATGCAAAGTGTTCTTTGAGCGTTCATGTTTCTATATAGAACCACTGTCTTTACTAAAGAACCCTTGAAGAACCATCTCTTTAAGAGTGTACTTTAGCCCATGTTTATAGACAACAGTACGTCAGACAGTCTATTAGGGATGACTGACTTATTTCCTGTTGGTCGCTGCAAAATTAAACAAATTAAATTTTCTGCATCAAACTAGAACAGCTCTGTCACAAAACTGAGCCATGGCTTGAGTGTTCTAGAACAAAGAAGAGAGTTCTAGAGTAAAGTGTAGACAGTTCTTGAACAGAGTGTATGAAATTCTAGAACAGATGAAGAAAGTACAAAGCTCCAGAATGTAACGGAACAGAACGTAGAGGTCAAGAATGGAGAGTGGAGATTTCTAGAATAGAACGCAACACGTGCCAAAGCAGCATATAGTTCTCGAAGACTGCGCAAGTTAAGAACATAATGCTACTTTTCTAGAAAAGAATATGGAGGCTTCTAGAGCAGAATGCGGAGTACAGAACAATCTGTGTAGAGATGCAGAGAGTCAGAACAGAGTGTACGGAAAGCTCTAGAATGCAAAAGGACAGAATGTAAAGGTCTAGAATGGAGAGTGGAGATTTCTAGAATAGCACACAGAGAGTTCCAGAACACAGGGCGTGTTCTAGAATGGAATGCAGAGAGTTCCAAAGAAAAGTGTAGTTCTTGAAGACTGTGCAAGTTAAAAGCAGAATGTAGAGTTCTAGAACAGAATGTAGAGAGCTGTAGAGCAGAACGTTTTAGAACAGGATGTACTGTTCTAGAAAAGAAACAGAACCAAAGAAAAACAGCATGGCTTGTACAGAATGTAGAGAGTTCTAGAACAGGGTCTTAGAACAGAGAGCTCTAGGACATAATGTAGAGAGCACTAGAACAGGAGCTCTAGAATACAAAGAATTCCAGAACATAATGTTGCTCTGAAACGGAGTGAAGAGAGTTCTAGAACAGCGTGTAGAAAGTCGTGGAGATCTTAGCCGGTTCTGGAAGAAGATGTGCACTTACCCAGAAGCCTCAGTTCTCAAGAAGCTGCGGATGGTGGCCGGAAGTTCAGACTTTAATATGAACATGTAGGAAGACATGGCTGCAGGAACACGAGAGAGAACACAGAATAAAGCCTGAAGCACGAAGGAGAACAAAACAACCAGACAAGGAGGAACCTAAAGAACACGCTGTGAGAAAATACATTCAGTTTATATCACAATACCTACATTTAGAGTCAGTTATTCATTCAGCCTAATGAGAAACTGTAGAACAGACTCAGTTTATATCACAATACCTACATTTAGAGTCAGTTATTCATTCAGCCTAATGAGAAACTGTAGAACAGACTCAGTTTATATCACAATACCTACATTTAGAGTCAGTTATTCATTCAGCCTAATGAGAAACTGTAGAACAGACTCGGTTTATATCGCTATACTGTATGCATGAGACAGTTGTGTGTGAGAGGAAAACAGAAATGAAGCAGAAATTAAGTTTTAAATTTTGTTTTTCTGTTACTCAGTAAGAAAAACTGTGCTTACCACCAATGTTCTGGATTAGAATGGTACAGGCCACCAGAACCTGGGCAAGAGAAAACAGAATAAAACAATAAAGAAACTTCAGTGACTTTGTGTATAATACTGACATTTTCCCCAGACAGTTTTGGACCGAGCTGAAGTTCATTTGACTAAAAAAAGTCATAAATAATATAAATATTTTTTACAATGAACTGATGATATAAAAGTGTACTGTACTATTCAAAACTTCACTGCTCAAAAGTTTAGAATCCACATTAAATCAAATTTGTTTCAGATAAATGTATAAAATTAATTCATGTTAGTCTTTGAAATGATTAGCAAGAAACTGTAAAAATTAAATAAGAGGATTGAAGTTCTAATAAAATTAATATACAGAATGAAAATTAATATCCACAATAAAGTTCTAATAAAGCTTAGTATTTAGAACAAGTTTCTAATTAAATGAATAAGATCCAGAGAAGTCAATAAAATAATATCAGAATAAAGTTCTAGTAAAATTAATATCCAGAGTGAAGTTCTAGTAAAATTAATATCCAGAGTGAAGTTCTAGTCAAATTAATATCCAGAGTGAAGTTCTAGTCAAATTAATATCCAGAATAAAGTTCTAGTAAAATTAATATCCAGAGTGAAGTTCTAGTCAAATTAATATCCAGGGTGAAGTTCTAGTAAAATTAATATCCAGAGTGAAGTTCTAGTAAAATTAATATCCAGAGTGAAGTTCTAGTAAAATTAATATCCAGTTATTCACTGGCTGTGTGAAAGGCGACTCACCCTGCCTGCTCTGTTGAAGGCTTTCTCTCCGAGACCTTCATATGAGTTCAAGCCTGCACCACACACACACACACACACACACACACACACAGACACACACACACACACACACAGGAAAGAGTAAACAAACATATCGATAAAGTAATAAATTCATTAAAACAACTCTAAAATGTTCCTGATTTCAGAAAAACCTCACACTCACTCTTTAACACTGTTACTTCACCATCTGAACACACTGTTAGTGACATTATAACATCACAACATCACAGCGATGGGATGTGAACTCGTGTCCTTGTGTTAATGTTTATGCACCAGAAAAGTAGCCCCAACATTTTTCAATCAATCAATCAATCCAAGCACATTGAGAGTGACCCTCACTTCCAATGCAGCCAAGCCAATACAGAAATCAGAGACTAAAAAAATTAGAATCATATCAAATGCTAAATAAAAAATAACTGTAATAATCATAATAGTAAATTTTATAGTTAAAACAAAAACAATCAATCAGAATAAACCATTAAAAATGCAAAAAATAAAATGGGGATAAAATAAAAAAACTGAATAAAATAAATAAAATAATGGAAAATGTAAAACAGTAACTCAGCAGCAGTTAAAAAGTAAAAGTTGAGGGTTCTTTACATGGAGTAGGGTTTTTCATACTGATGGTGTTTGTGGTGTATATGGTTCTGATCAGGGTTTACAGAACCCTTTTCAAAAAGAATAATGAGCTGTTTACTGGAACCCCAAAGCTGATGTGAACTGAAAAGTCTGGTCACTCAGATAATTTACAAGATAAGAAGTTAGCCTTTTTGACCACGTATGTTTTTAATGGACAATTTTCCAGAGAATTTTGGACTCCATGTAAAATTCTGAGAGAGTCCGAGGAGTTTTTATATACGTCAGTAAACCAGTAAACCTCTGAACATCCAGACCAAACAGTCTGCAGCTTCTCTTTGAGCTCGTCTGAATGAGTCAGAGAACATTCACTCAAACTCCAAACGTCTGGTCTGATTTCACTTTCATTCATTTATCCCAGCAGTAAACAGACTGAATTTTACATATCGCTGCTGTCAGAATGAAACCTCTCCAAAATATTACTTTACAGGAGAAGGAAAAACATACTTTACTTTTAATGGAAGTTTAATGGAACCAGAATTTTTTCCAAGTATGTACAACTTTTTTTATATTTATATTTTATATATGTATGACGTTCTTCCTCATAATAGTGGTGTACATTATTACACTATTATTAAGCATACAGGCCTCATAAAATAGTGGAAATGTAAAAATGCACAATTAAATCGTTTATCGCGATTATTTATATGACAATTAATCGTCGGGTGTCTGACTTTAGTCTTTTCAAAGTGCATGGTTAGCATTAGTGGAGTTACACGTGAGAGGGTTAAGGTAACGTTACCTGTCTGATCACACAGTGTGAGCAGGAGGTGGATGGAGTAGGCGGCCAAACTGGACACCAGCAACAACAACACACTACACAAAACACACACAGGTTAACAGGGGTGTGCACATTTATTCACGCAAAGCAGGGGGTGCCACGAAACATTAAAGTGACAGTTCAACCAAATATTTAATTTGCAGTTTCCGCCGCAGTCGATCAGCAAAGGCATGTCTGAAGTTTGCTTCTTTAGTTTTAGCTACGAGGCTAATGTGGCTAACAGATAAAGGAAGCTTACACCACACCGACTAGCACTGTGCACATTTTGGCATGTCTGTCTCAAACTGTGTGGAGGTGTTCAGAATCTCTAATAGACCTGGTTCTGTGGTTTCTGACTCACTGTTCTCTATAAACCTGGACTAAAGTACATTAGCATAGCTAAACACAGCAGTAGCATCTGGAACTGTGTCACACGGTGTCAGAAACCACATACAGTCTTGTGCAAAAGTTTGAACAACCCCAGTCATATTTTCAACCCCAGTAAAAATAAGTGAACACGTCCTCCACAGAGACGCACTTAAACACGCCACTTGCCTGCAAACCTAAGTGAACAATTCCTATTTATTTGCTGAGTTTAACATGTTGGAAATAATACAACAAAATAATAAATGTGCCATAACTTTTGTACAGGCCACATTTATTTTTTTCCCCAATATGTTAAATTCAGTAAATAAACAGTAATTGTGTATCAAAGTGTGCTGAAGTGAGTCTCTGTAGAGGACGTGTTAATTATTTTTAACTGGAAAATGGAAATTTGACCAGGGGCGCACAAACTTTTGCACGGCAAGTCTATTAGAGATTACTCAACAACTCCATAGAGTTTAAAGCGAGAGCGTGATGATTTAGGTATGCAGTTAGCATCCTGTTAATTGGTGGGGCACAACTGGTGGGGTTTTAGTTCCAGTGCTGAAGCTCCAAACGTGTCTCTGCTGATCGACAACATCTGGGTAAGTTTTATTTATTTATTTATTTATTGTCAAACTATCACTTTAAGAGTGAAAAGCAGCACCTCTGTGTCTCACCTGAAGCCTAAGATTCCTGTGTTGGCCATGGCGTACGCCAGCCCCAGAATCCCACTGCCCATTATAGCATTCATCAGGTTAAAGACCGAGGACGCAAAGGAGGCTCCTCCAGAGACCCGCGCACCCTGAGAGAGAGAGAGAGAGAGGAGAGAGAGAGAGAGAGAGAGAGAGAGATTTGATTTGGGGGAAGCAGACAGTCATACATTGATGTGGTCTCTCCATCCCACCACTATATAATTTCCACCCACACTGCACTTTCAAACTATCTGGATTTATCTGGAGACCCGTGAATCTGGCAACCCTGCGTGACGTGGTAACTGTGAGTGACGCATGTAGAAAGCAGCACAGTTTTTTCCGGTTGCCATAGTGACCCTGCATGACTGGAATCCATACACTGTCAAATGCAGTTTCGCTACAGCAGCTGTTTTCAGACTGTTCTGAGCAGCTTCTCTACTGTGGCTTCTCTCATGAGTTGCCCTCGGACTGTGTGGGGTTGAGAGGCCTACGACCCAGTGCCCTCCCGTAGTTGGGGCCTATGGCACCAATATTATTGGCCAACCGATATCCATCAGGCCCTAACATTCCCCACGGTTTTGGTTGCAACATCTGTGAAGAAATCCAAAACAATTCTCATGTACGTGGCGTTTCTCCACCGAGCTGTGAACGCAAACACAGCAGGCAAAAGTGAAAGTGTCAGCAGAAGTTCTGCAAAGAGCACGAGACAAGCATGTGATCTCACACCACACACTCAGCTCGAGCAGCAGGTTAGTCTGTCATAAAGCAGCTCTGGCCTGCTGTTTTATCTCCACCGCTCAGCTCCATGCTCATGAAAGCATCTTCCCTGGTATGAAGAGCAGGTTCTGCCTTTCTCAGCCAAAGTGCTGCCAAAAGCAAAAGTCTTTTAATCCAAAGGTGAATTAAACACCGGGAAGGTTTGAGTGCTGATATCACAACAATGGGAGGAAACGGCCGTGGCTTTTGGCTTTTGGCTTTGTAGACCTCTGAACTCGTGTCGTCGTTCTGTAGTCGACATCATGCCCATGTTAGGAACTCCAGTCCATACACAGGACTGAATGCATTGGCTGCATTGGCTTTGGAGTATTTTAATTTACCACAGGGTGTGATTTTTGAAAACGGTATTCATGTTTCCCCACAGAGAAAACCAACACTGTCACTAAAGTGTTACTGGAGCTGGATTAGTTTCAGCGGAGGAGCTCCGGTATTGTAATTTGTGTGTGATTTAACTGGCCGATTCATAAAGGATCTGTGTAATTTCCCCAAATAAGCTGGAACGAAATACAGATGTTTACGTCCGCATTAAGTGACAGGCACCAAATTTGCAGCTAAATGGCAAATACTGTAAATATGGTACCAAAAAAAAAGGCAACAGTAAATGAAGGGGGAGACTTTACATCTCATTTCGGTGTGGGGTGATTCCCGTTATGAACTTTAATTCCAAATGATGGTGCACTATTATGAATCATAGACATGAATCAATCCTCATAACCTTGAGGATTAAGGAATTGGGTCAAATCAGGCTCCATTTAACTGTTAGCCTGTGTCTTCAGGTCACCAATAAGGAAAAATAATGGAGACAGTGTTTTTTATTACTGGGTTCTGTCATTAAATTGCTGTGATGTCATTTAAATGATCTATTGTTACTGATGGAGCTCCAAGTTCAAATTATAGAATTATAGAAGGTAATTCACTCCAGAATTACTACTAAGTAGACTTTTAAAACAGCAGATATGGCAGATTCATACTGGAATAAAATCATGGACCTCATTGATAATCACTCGGATCACAGCATAATCTCCCCAGATCAAACTAATCCAGCTCCAACAGGGCTTAATATTGGTACAAAGGTGGACAATATGGCAAAAACATATTTTTTCATGATGCACAATATTTCACAATACATATTCTATATGATAACTAACAATAAACGATAAATACAGTGCTGTATGTTCAACATTTCACACACTGCGCTGCACTGAATCCAATTAAACAGGGCTAATGATGCTCTCTTTGTAATCAAACATGTACTGGTTCTGCGTTCTTTCAGTACTGACGACACCTACGATACACTCAGAAAAGGATATTGTGACCATTTATCACAATAACTATAAATATCGTCACACTGCCCAGCTCTATCCTCTTAAAATAGAAAAGGGTTCTTAAGTAAAGGCAACTGTTCTATTTAGAACCATGGGTTCTATATGGAATGACACAACTTCAGAGGTCTTTGCATGGTGAAATGGTTCTTTAGATTGTATATGGTTCTATATAGAACCTTTCTGAAAATGGTTCTACATAGCACGAAAAAGGATTATTCCATTATTGCAAGCTTGACTTCATAACAGTGGAAGATGCCATATAGAACCACACACAACACATTGGCCATCAATCTCACCATGCAAAGAACCATTTAAAGCATGGAAATGGTTATACAAAAACTAAACAGAACCATTGCCTTAACTGAAGAACCACTGAAGAAGCACCTTTTTAATGATTGTATGCAGCGCAGGTTCAGTGGAGCCGCCTAACTCTGCATTATAAACCAGACATGCAGTTTTTCTTCCACCACGTTGAGGAGAAATCAGCTCTTTCTGGCTAAATGATGATGTGAAATGCATCCAGATTCATTATACAGCCCTCATGCTTCGTGTCTGTGTGTGTGTGTGTGTGTGTGTGTGTGTGTGTGTGTGTGTGTGTGTTACCCGAGACAGCAGAGGTGTAGTCTCATCATCCTCCTCCTCTCTGTACGGCTGATTCCCGCTGCCAGCCTGGATGGTCGTGTTCACTCCGTCCTTATTCATTAGACTTCTTTCTTTTTTCACCCCCTTTTCCTTCCTGTGTCCCTCCTTTCTCTGCTTACCTGTCCTCTCTTTCTCTGAGCTTTTCTTTCTCCTTCCCTCCCTTTCCTTAACTTCCCTCTTTTTCCTTGCTGTATCTCTCTCTCTCCTTTCCTTTCCTTATTTTTCCCTATTTCCTTGCTTTCCTTCCCTCTTTCATTTCTTTGTGTCCCCCTTTCCTTTGCTTACCTTTTCCCACGCCTCTCCTTCTCTTTTCTTTCTTCTTTCCCTCCCTTTCTTAACTTCTCTACCCTTTCCTTTGCTCTTCCTCCTTCTTTCCTGGCCCTCTCTCTCTTTCCTTCTCTTCCTCTTTGTACTTCTCTCTCTCTCACTCACTCTTTAGCACTTGTAGACACTAAAACTCCCAAACTTTAAAGTTTATATCTGATTAAACTCCTCCGCTTCTCCTCTCTAACGCCTCTCCTCCTCTGCTCCTCACTCTTTTGCCTCCGCTTCTCCTCTCTAACTCCTCTCCTCTCCTCCTCTGTTTCTCTCTCTCCAGCCGCTGGTAGTGATCATGTGATGTGTTTACTGGTCGACTCTTAAAGACGCAGCGCGCCGCTTGTCCAATCAGCGCCCGCGCCGCAGGAGCGGACCAATCAGAAAGCCGCGCTCGGTCCCCTGAAGATGCCGTAGAACACAGGCGTGCATGGCCGGTGTGATGGTGAGGTAAGAGATCAGCGTTACAGGCGTTATAAGGCTTAATAAACACATTAAAACGCTTCACAGCGGGTACTGTCGCTTAATCAGGGAGCTGTGCTGTAAATACGTACGATAAACCCAGTCAGGACTGCCTGTGTGTCTCCAGATCGCGGTAACAGGGTCACATTTCTGTCAGAGATCTGAGCTGAGTGGCGTTTAAATCACTGTTTTAACGCAGATCCGCTGCGATCACATCAGAACCGAGGCGCCGCTCCGTTTCAGATCAGCTTCATTAAAGTCAGAGTAACTTTACTGTCATTCAGACTGTACAGCAATACAGTGCACAGCTGAACGAGACTGCAGATATAACAAATATAACATAAAATGTACATAGACAGCCTGGACAGCATAGACAGACATAAATATGCGTATGGGCAAAATATATATATTTAAAAAATATTGCAGGTTGTATAGAAAATATTGCACTTTCTGAAATGGTTCTATACAGCGCCAAAAAAGATTATTCTATTGTTGCAAGCTTGACTTCATAACAGTAGAAGATGCTATATAGAACCACACACACACACACACACAACACATTCTCTGTCAGTCTGAAGGAACATTTCACCGTGCAAAGAACCATTTAAGCATGCAAATGGTTATACAGAACTCATGGTTCAGAATAGAACTACTGCCTTTACTAAAGAAGCCTTGAAGAAGCACCTTTTTAATGATTGTATGCAGCGCAAAAACCTAAGGACCCAGATGTTTTTCTAAAAAAATGTTTTTAGATTAAGTTCATATTTGTTTTGTTAATGGAGAAACAGATACGTATTTGTGCATGGTGCAAGATTTTATGTTACAGTGACTTATTTTGTAATTTAAATAATAATTTATATATATATATATATATAATATATATTATATATATATATATATATAGTATATATATATATGTATATATATATATATCTTTTTCACTTACATTAAACATTGTCATGCACTGAGTTAATGATGAAGTTGAATTAATATATTTGTTTGAGTGGCACTTATTAGCAGATTTTTGTCCATTATGCTTTGCATTGAATGAACTTGAATGGCACTCATTCATGGACTGACTCAAAGGTGGAATGATATATCAGGGTCTAACGGCTGGAAACGCAGCGATATTTCTGGGATGATAACAGTAACGCTTTGTTTTAGTCGATACAAACAGTAATAATCAGTAATTTTACTTTGCATTTTAGAACAAGCCAGTACTATAATCCGTATATGAAGTGCAGTGAGCATTATTAGTTAATGTAAACATTGGCATATTTACAGACGCATTTATCTAGAGCAATAATAACTCTCAAAATTTTACTATTTATCAGCAAATATCAGCTGCTGAAATACTGCATCTCCAAAAAGGCTCTTGTTGTTCCTCTGTCACAACAGGAATGTTCGCAGACTGCTGACACTCTTGGATGTTCACTACTATCGAGGAGCTTCTCGCCTTTTCTCTATCAGCATTCCCTCTCCAGAAGTTTTCCATGCACAGAAGACCATGTCGGACCCCCAGCCTCCTGCAGCTGATCCTGGCCTTTACAGTCCCCCTCCTGCAGTGCGAGGTATGACTGTGCTGGACCGAGAAGCTTTCACCCAAACCATTAACGTCCCCGCCATCTGCATCCCCACCAGCGTCCTCAACAAGGCGGTCAAAAGCCTGAAGAAAGTGGCCCTACAGAGGCCCGGCCTCAAACGAGTCGTAGATGATGACCAAAAACAAACAGACAGTGATGGCAAAGAGCACCGGCTACTCCTGCTGGACCCTCAGAGTGTCTCATCGGCTGAGAATTTCGGCGAAGAGGAGGCATCAGCACTCAAAGCGTTTGGCGTGAAGCCTGAAATACAGCGTTATGAACTCAAGCTGACCTACGACAACCTGAAAAGTGAGGAGGTGCTGCGGGCCGTACTGCCTGAAGGCCAGGATGTGACCTCAGGCTTCAGCAGAGTGGGCCACATCGCTCACATGAACCTCCGAGACCACCAACTGCCCTATAAAAACCTCATAGGTGAGATAAACACTCATTAAAGCAGTACTTTGCCAAAAATCACATGTACCCAGATTCCCCTCCTATTCTACATGTAGTCCATCAGTGAAGTTTGCTTCTTTAGTTTTAGCACGGGAGCTACAAGGCTAATGTAGCTAACCAATATCGCAAGTTTATACTCCAGCCAAATTCGCACAGTGTTAACTGCATATGTCACACATTTGTCTCAAAGCGTGTGGAGGTGTTCAGTATCTCTAATAGACTTGATTCTGTGGTTTCTGACTCTGTATGACTCACTGTTCTCTATAAACATGGACTAAAGTACATCACACTGCGAATAGGTGGGCATAGATATACAAACCTAGATGCCGTGTTGTCTGTTGTTCTCTATCTGAGGCGATACGTCTGAGCGTCCACCATGTTGGAGAGGTCAAGATCTGCTTGTGAACAGATTCACTTGTATTGAGAGACGAAGAGTCTCAGGATTAAATCAGCCACAACTTCCTTATTACTCAACCGATTTTCACCTAATTTGTTTTGTTATAATCCTCAGACACAGATTAATCCAGGCTGTGCGGATCTGCTCTCGGTAGCTTCTATTACTTTAATCACTGATCATGATAATTAGCCGTCCAGACCAGCAGGACAGCATTCAGTCTGCACCTGACGTTAAAAACCGAGTTTAGCGTGAGAAACACAATCAGACACATCAGCAAATCCATCAATGTGTGAATCACTTCTAATCTTAATACACATAAACATAAAATAAACCCCCAAAACACAGTAAGAAGGACGAAGCTGAAGCTGGGAAAGACGCTGACAGGTTCATATAATAAGGTGCTAATGTTAATCTATTATGAATATCTACATAGATTAAGGAATGCTATAATTCATAGCTATAAAGCTTTAACTATCACTGTAAATAAATAACTACTACATAAAGTGAAGACCCCCTGAATAGACTATTAAATGAAATAAGCTTAATATAAACCAGAGGAAAAACAATCACATCAACAGGTTCTCTGTGCCTCATTAACCACACAGCCATATCTACACAACCATCACACAAACAATACACATCACACAGACAGGAGTGTGGATCACTGCGTTCCCTCCGTTATACAATCCTATCCCATATTCTTGAAATAGTGTAATTTTGGACAGTATCTTTATTAAACTGCTGCTCTGTAATGGTACTGAATGCAGACCAGCAGCGATGTTGACCCCCCCCCCAAAATGGCGGCGCCGTTGACGTCCCTGGCTGGACCCAACGCGGCATGTGTTGGTTTATTGAATACGTTTGTCCTTTTTGGGGCAACACTGTGAATTTAAAATTTGAAGTTTATTAGACTATTAAAAGACAATAATACAGTGTGTTCATTTTTCAGTGCTGTTCGTTACTGCTTGGTTAAATATTTATAAAAGTGCATTTTGTCTGCAGGTCAGGTGATCATAGATAAAAACCCTGGTGTTACCTGTGTGGTCAACAAGACCAACACCATCGACTCCACTTACAGAAACTTCCAGATGGAGGTGCTGGCAGGAGAGAGCAACATGGTGGCCAAGGTGAGGGACGACACATCGGACAAGCTACAACCAGTGAATGTTTTCAGTTATCATACTGAAAATGCTTGTTCTCCTATATGGCCTCAATATAAATACACAACCTGATGCACAACGTAATTCTGCTGCATTGAAAACCACCTTCCTGTTTCTACAATCACTGTCCACTTCATCAGCTCCACTGACCATATAGTTTCACTCTGTAGTTCTACAGTTACAGACTGTAGTCCATCTGTTTCTCTGCATACTTTGTTACCCTGTTCTTCAGTGGTCAGGACCCCCATGGACCCTCACAGAGCAGCTACTATTTGGGTGGTGGATCATTCTCAGCACTGCAGTAACACTGACTTGGTGGTGGTGTGTTAGTGTGTGTTGCGCTGGTCTGAGTGGATCAGACACAGCAGTGCTGCTGGAGTTTTTAAACACCTCAGTGTCGCTGCTGGACTGAGAATAGTTCACCAACCAAAAACATCCAGCCAACAGCGTCCTGTGGGCAGCGTCCTGTGACCACTGATGATGGATTAGAGGATGACCAACACAAACTGTGCAGCAGCAGATGAGCTATCGTCTCTGACTTTACATCTACAAGGTGGACTGACAAGGTAGGAGTGTCTAATAGAGTGGACAGTGAGTGGACACAGTGTTTAAAAACTCCAGCAGCACTGCTGTGTCTGATCCACTCAGACCAGCACAACACACACTAACACACCACCACGTCAGTGTTACTGCAGTGCTGAGAATGATCCACCACCCAAATAGTACCTGCTCTGTGAGGGTCCATGGGGGTCCTGACCACTGAAGAACAGGGTAAAAGGGGGCTAACAAAGTATCAGAGAAACAGATGGACTACAGTCTGTAACTGTAGAACTACAAAGTGCACCTATATAGTAAGTGGAGCTGATAAAATGGACAATGAGTGTAGAAACAAGGAGGTGGTCATAATGTAATGCCTGATCAGTGTATGCACACACACACACACACATTGAGGTCACCAGTCTATCACAGGGCAGAAAACACAGACATATACATTCACACACCACACACACCTAGGGGCAATTTAGCATGTCCACTACATAAAGTTATGTATAATTGAGATTTTTATTTCGGTGCATTTTTGGTTGCAGCATTTTGCAGTTTGATACATTCTGTGCCACACTCTGTGTTCCAGGTGAGAGAGAACGGCGTGTTTTATGAGTTCGATTTTTCTCGTGTGTACTGGAACCCGCGGCTCAGTACAGAGCATGAGCGGATCGTTTCTCTGCTCCGCCGGGGGGACGTGGTTCTGGACGTTTTCGCCGGAGTCGGCCCGTTTTCTATCCCAGCGGCCCGTCGGGGGTGCACCGTTTTCGCCAACGACCTCAATCCCGAATCGTACCGTTGGCTTCAGCACAACACCAAACTCAACAAGGTCGAGGCAAAGGTCACCACCTTCAACCTGGACGGCCGGGAGTTCATCAGGGGTCCGGTCAGGGAGCATCTTCCCAAACTGATGAAGGGTTCTGCCGGGATCCACATCATAATGAACCTTCCGGCTCTGGCGCTGGAGTTCCTGGACGCCTTCAGAGGCCTCCTGGGCCCGAAACCGGATCAGGGGGCTTCCTGCACAGTGACCCTCCCACAGGTACACTGTACAGTGTGATATACAGTTTCTGACACTGCATGACTTACAGTTACATATACAGATATAAAACTCTGCCACAGGAGCGCTGTTAGATAGAGCAGCGCTCAAAATATCAATAATATTCCACAGAGCTGTGTTCAAAATACTGATAACCTCATAAAAATACTACTAACGTCACACTGAGCTGCATTCAAAACATCAGCAACTTCACACAGGGCTGTTCAAAATATTGATCATGTCACAAGACCTTGTCAAAAATATCACTAATATGTAGGGCTGTGTTTAAAATATCAGTAACGTCATATCAGTATTTTGATCACGTAAATCTGTGTTCACAATATCACTATTATCACATAGAGCTGCACTCACAATATCACTTATCACTTAGAGCTGCACTCATAATATCACTATTATCACTTAGAGCTGCATTCACAATATCACTATTATCACATAGAGCTGCACTCACAATATCACTATCACAGAGCTGCACTCACAATATCACTATTATCACTTAGAGCTGCATTCACAATATCACTTATCACTTAGAGCTGCATTCACAATATCACTGTTATCACTTAGAGCTGCACTCACAATATCACTATTATCACTTAGAGCTGCATTCACAATATCACTGTTATCACTTAGAGCTGCACTCACAATATCACTATTATCACTTAGAGCTGCATTCACAATATCACTTATCACTTAGAGCTGCATTCACAATATCACTTATCACTTAGAGCTGCATTCACAATATCACTGTTATCACTTAGAGCTGCACTCACAATATCACTTATCACAGAGCTGCATTCACAATATCACTTATCACAGAGCTGCACTCACAATATCACTGTTATCACTTAGAGCTGCACTCACAATATCACTTATCACAGAGCTGCACTCACAATATCACTATTATCACTTAGAGCTGCACTCACAACATCACTATCACTTAGAGCTGCATTCACAATATCACTGTTATCACTTAGAGCTGCATTCACAATATCACTGTTATCACTTAGAGCTGCACTCACAATATCACTGTTATCACTTAGAGCTGCACTCACAATATCACTATTATCACAGAGCTGCACTCACAATATCACTATTATCACAGAGCTGCACTCACAATATCACTATTATCACTTAGAGCTGCATTCACAGTATCACTGTTATCACTTAGAGCTGCCGCCACAATCACATGGTGACGTAGGGTCTCCAGTCCGAAACTAACATTGTTTAGTGTTCATTAGATTTTATACCAATAATTTTCATGTCTTGTGAACCTCTAACAGACGTGCTCAGGTGGTTTCTGACTCTGAATGACGCCCTGTTATTTCTAAACCGTGCTGCAGGTGCACTGTTACGGCTTCTCGAAGGAGGATGACCCTCAGAGGGACGTGCTGGAGAGAGCGGAGGCTGCTTTAGGGGCTTCGCTGCAGGGGCGCTGCTCAGTGCACATGGTGAGAAACGTGGCGCCCAATAAAGAGATGATGTGCGTGAGCTTCACCGTGCCCTCAGAGGTGCTGTACAGCAGCAGCGGAAAAGAGGAAGGTGAGTTATGGTCACTGGTTCATGAGCACATATAGCCTGTATGTATACAGAGGAAATTGAGGAAATTATCAACAGAAAAAGACACAAATCTAACTGTCTGGTCTCTCTTTTTCTCTCCAGGTTGCTCAGAACCGTCGCCAAAGAGACAGAAATGTGAAGACACTGAAGGATAGAAGCTCACCTGCATGGAGAATTTTGTTTTTATAGTTTGTTTTATAATAAACCGAGATATTCCACACGGGTTTGCCTGAATCTGTAAATGAGAGTTTACCAGCTCTACAGTGAACAGTTATTACTGTGGATTGCTACACTAAATGTAATTACATAACTACATAATTACTTATGTAATCAGTTACATTTGATTGACATGCTGTATCGGCAGGTTCGAGTCTTTTTGTTTGTTTCAATACCAAAAAAATCACAGAAAAATATGTAAATATAAAGTTTTTTTTTCTTTCTGCCAAACAAGACTGTTCACAGCAGTAACTTCTGATACGAGTCAGAAATGATTCATTTTAAATTACAGCACGATTTCTTTTCATACAGTGAGTAAATGCTAACCTCGCACAGAAGGAGTTACAACAAAAACAACCTAAAGGAAGCTTGTTTTATAGCCTTTTATTTAAACTAAATACATTTACAAAAGATCACAGACGCTGCAAAATATCTGTACAATGTGGATCCACTTTTTTCAGACTTGTTAGTTCTGGCCTAAAAAAGTAAAATCAGCAGAAAATCCCGATTCCGGGATTAATTTGTCCCAGTATTAAACTGTTAATTTAACACGAGTAAAATAAGGGTACAAGAGAGTTCTGGTTAAAGGGGTAGTCTGGCAGTTTCCCCTCTTACCCTAGAAGTAGTCGATCAGTTGAGACGTGTTTGGTGTCTGAAGTTTGCTGCTTTAGTTTTAGGAGCTACGAGGCTAATGTAGCTGAAAAGTAATGGGAGCTTATACCCCACAGATTAGCATGACGCCTAAATCATCACACACATGTTCAGTATCTCTAATAGACTTGATTGTGGTTTCTGACACTGTATGACTCACTGTCACCTATAAACATGGACTGAAGCACATTAGCATAGCTAAATACAGTAGAATTGTCGTACTTTAGTCCATGTTTATAGATATCAGTGAGTCATACAGTGTCTGAAACCACATTATCATGTTTATTAAAGAGTTTACGTGAAAACAAAAAGAAGAAAACTGAAGCAGTGATGTTCAGACACCAAAAGATGTCTTGGCTGAAGGGGAGAAATGGGGTCAATTTGCTGAACTCGTCCTTTAATTGATTTCCTACTGGATAATCTGCACTTGTGACAGAAGTTATGTATTACCCTCCTGTTGGGGGGGGGGTGTTATATTAATGAAGGGAAGAGTCCGCTGAAAGCGTCCTGTAGCGCTCGGTGGCAGGCCAGTCCTGATGTGTACCCCCCCGCCAGGTCCTGCGGAGTCGCCATCCTCACATGATTCAGATACCTGAGAGAGAGAGAGAGAGAGAGAGAGAGAGAGAGAGAGAGAGAGAGAGATCAGAATTTAGAAACAGAAAGAGGCGCCATAAAAACAATGGAAGCCCAAAGAAGAAAGAATATGTAATTAATGGAATTCAGGACAAACAGAAACTGAACTGCATTTTCTCTGCTCATGTTGTGAATATAAAGACCTCAGAGAAGACTATTTCAACTCAAAACTTAAATCCCATCATTTGAAGAGAAAATGATCAAAGCTGAAGATTTGTTACGCGTGTGTTTAGGAGAGACTCCAGAATGTGTTGAACTATCAGCTAAATATGTTTACAGCTGCCACAAACGCAGAGAACAGAGTGGCACAGCACCTTAAACTGATCCATGTAAATATATTGTTTGGATTTGAGATGTTAAGAGAGAAAGAAAGAGAGATTTTATCTATTAAAAACCAACATTTTCACCTAAAAAAAGGAGTCAAATTTAAATAATGAAAAAATCAGTTTACATTGCACGTGTTAATACAGAATAATACGGGTATAACTGACGTACCCTTCAGGGAAAAAACGGGAGATTTACAATTAATTTACAAAGGATTTACAGAAAATATGGAGTGTCATCATATACAAACCTGCAAAACTCAACTTCATAAACTTTTTGTTTTTATAAGATCATTTGAACATGCTAGTTGTCCTTTACACTGTATGAGCAAATTCATGAAGAATGGACTCACTATAAAAATCTCATTACTATAACACATATTAAAGGGCCATATCATAGGAAACTAAACTCTATATACATGTATACATTATACATATACACACGCATACTATATATATATATATATATATATATATATAGATAGATAACCCACTTGCATAAGAGAGGAGAAAGTCAAGGTAAAAATATGAAATATGTAAAAAAAATAGGGTCTCCTTTCAAAAATATTTAACAACTGCAGAGAAACGGGACTCCTAACATTACAGTCAGCTCCATCATTACTGTCCCCTCAGTAAAGATGAGAGGAATCTACCCGTGAATTTGGACTTAAAGTTACTCCAAGAAAAGAAAAACACTTATCAAAAAATACAACTTTTTAAGAAAACTAGTTAGCACCATGCTAACTGGCGGGGTATAACATTACTTGTTGGCTACATTAGCCTCGTAGCTACAGCGTAAAACTGAAGGAAACTTCAGACGCTGACTTTTTGACCTGTGCATGAATATTGTGAAAATCTGGAACCAGCAGATTTTCCAAGAAACATTCACCACCACGCCCCCCCAAAACACACACCCTACATTCCACAGGCAGATCTAGTTACGTACACGTACACACACACACACACACACACACACACACACAGCACACACTTAATACGTATGTTAAATGCTAAAATGATCATTTACGTTTACAACGGATTTCTTACAAGTGAAAATGCATTCAAAGATTTAATTCTTAGTGAGAATAGTTTTATTTTCACATGTAAGAGCAACTCTACGACCCAGGAGGACACACGGCTTAGACACTGTGTGTGTGTGTTTACATTTTTTAACAATTCAGGCTTCACTTGTAGGAAATCAAAACATTAAATTAGAAGTTCAACATGTCAAAATCTAATTTTTACTTGTGAAAACTGAATTACCGCGTGTTACAGTTCAACTCCAGATCAAACAGTTTCTCTCATTATAATGGATTAAGGAAAAGTGAAGTTTTATACACTAAAATATAACAACTACTCAATAAAATTAACAATTTACACGGTGCATGTTTGGCTTTCTGTAGCAGAGAGCGAGAAGAAGAAGCAGGAAAAGAGGTGAAGTGTGTATTTGTGGCCTGTAGGGGGCGACAGAGTCCCACATGATAATTAACTAAGGGGAAAGTCACAGTTTTGTGCAGAACAGTTTGACTGCCAAACTGTGTTTGTGTGTGTGTGTGTGTGTGTGTGTGTGTGTGTGTGTGTGTGTGTGTATTCCCACCACTGTCACTATATCACTTCCCACCATCACATCACTGCTGTGATATTCAGTAGCTGGATGTCACTGACTCTGTGAGTGTGTTTACATGCACTTAATAATGCGATAACTGCAGAAAATCAGTTTGTCAGTAATCCGATTAACATGTTTACATGCACTTGAGTAATCAGATAATGGGAAACTCCAGAGTCAGACAGTAATCAGATTTCTGCTTTGCAACTAGCCAATAAGCTCACAGAAGAAGACGTGACGTAAACGTAAAACTCAAACTTCATGCCGCAGCTTTTTTTAAACATTGAGTCACTTTACCTGAAAATATGAACAAACATCTAGAAGATAAAGAATATTTAAATCCTTTATTTTGTCAAGCATGTATTTGGTTTCAGTGCCGTTCCAAAAGTGTTTTGCTGCGTCTCGCGGTACCACCGTCTGTTTTCGCACATGCACAGACGGAGAAATCCGAAAGAAATCAGAGTAAGAGTTTACAGCACTGAGCAATCTGATTACTGAGCTCAAATCCAGCCTCTTTATCAGATTTCTTAATCTGATTTCTAGACCTTGCTTGGATCTAAGAAATCACAGTGTGCTGTTTACACGACCATTTGAATAATCAGATAACTGCAATAATCTGAATATGATCGGATTATTAAGTACTTGTAAATGCACTCTATTTTACTACAGCCAGAAGAAACGACTTCTAACTTCATAAAATTTGTGCGTACTAAAAGAAAACGAATCAAAAACATCTTACAATGAAAACTTTTGCGGCTAATGATACTTAACTACCATCTATTTAAATCGAAATTCGAAAATTTGTTTTTCTAACAAAAGACAGAAAAAGAAAGAATTGTCTACATTATGGATTCATTCACATTATTTTTTAACCTACAACTGAATTATTAAACTATTATTAATTAATTATTATGCAAGTTTAAATTCATAGACATATGAACTTCAGGCAGCATTGGGAAAATACTGTTAATCAAAAACATTAGTCACATTAAAATCAGTTCTTATATCGATACTTTCTGATCCACCATCTTCGCGAAATGATAGGACCCTACTCAATATGTGCATGCTTAAGGGCTTCTTTGCATGGTGACATGGTTCTTCTCATTGATGGAGAATGCGTTCATGGTTCTGCAACCCCAAAAAGGGTTCTGCTATTGTTACAAGCTTGACATCACAACAATAGCAGAACCCTTTTTTGTGCTATATAGAACCTTATACAACACATTCTCCATCAATGTGTGTGTGTGTGTGTGTGTGTGTGTGTGTGTGTGAGTGTGTGTGTGTGTGTGTGTGTGTGTGTGAGTGAGTGTGAGTGTGTGTGTGTGAGTGAGTGTGTGTGTGAGTGAGTGTGTGTGTGAGTGTGTGAGTGTGTGTGTGTGAGTTTGAGTGTGTGTGTGTGTGAGTGAGTGAGTGTGTGTGTGTGTGTGTGTGTGTGTGAGTGTGTGTGTGAGTGTGTGTGTGAGTGAGTGTGTGTGTGTGTTAAATCGGTCATTCCTATCAGTCCATTTTCAATCCGTTTAATCCCAGACAAATAAACCGCCACACTCCTCCTTCATTTTCCTTTCTGCTTTCACTTCTTTCCCTCTTCGTTTTTCTTTTTTCCCCTCTTGCTTTCTGTCTCTGCCCGTTTCTCTCTTTCCTTACTTTTTGTCTTTTCTTATTTCTTTCTTTCCATTTCTCTCTCACCCCCCAACCAATGCGTTGAAAGATCACTTCCTGTCTACGCTGAGTTGCCGTGTGATGACTTCCTGTATGATGGTGGCGAGTGTTTCCCTGGAGACGGATGAGAAATCACCGCGGTGATGAGAGACGGGCAGCTTCCAGACCACCAGCCCCCACCTCACCCTCTCCACCACCTCACTCTCTCCACCAGGGAGAGAAAAGAGAGGGAGGGGTAAAAGATGAGGGAAGAGGACAAAATGAGAGGAAAGATGAGAGAAAGAAAGAGAAAGATGGAGAGAAAGATGGAGAGAAAGGGTGGAGAGAGAGAGAGAGAGAGAGATGGAGAGAAAGGGTGGAGAGAGAGAGAGTGAGAGAGATGGAGAGAAAGGGTGGAGAGAAAGGGTAGAGAGAGAGAGAGAGAGAGAGAGAGAGAGAGAGAGAGAGAGAGAGAGAGAGAGAGAGAGAGATGGAGAGAAAGGGTGGAGAGAGAGAGAGAGATGGAGAGAAAGGGTGGAGAGAGAGAGAGAGAGAGATGGAGAGAAAGGGTGGAGAGAGAGAGATGGAGAGAAAGGGTGGAGAGAAAGGGTGGGGAGAGAGAGAGAGAGAGAGAGAGAGATGGAGAGAAAGGGTGGAGAGAGAGAGAGAGATGGAGAGAAAGGGTAGAGAGAGAGAGAGAGAGAGAGAGAGAGAGAGAGAGAGAGAGAGAGAGAGAGAGGGAGAGAAAGGGTGGAAAGAGAGAGAGAGAGATGGAGAGAAAGGGTGGAGAGAGAGAGAGAGAGAGAGAGAGAGAGAGAGAGAGAGGGAGAGAAAGGGTGGAGAGACAGAGAGGGAGAAAAACCTCAAAAATGTCAGAGAGACGATCAGTTCAGAGCAAATGAGCCAACAAACACAAACTTCGCCCCTCTGCTGATTTTCTCTGCTCTCTCTTTCCTTCCGCTCCTCTCGTTCTCTCTTAGTCAGCTCGTCTGACTTGTAGACTGGTGATGTCAGCTGTACGCCCTGCCAGTACTGAAGTACTAAACCGCTACTCAGGTGTTCTTTACGTCATTTTCGGGAGGATGGAGAAAACAGACCAGCGACTCATTCAGGGAAACGCAGATTTTATGTTTTAACAGGACTGGGAAAGTATCAGCTTTGCGATGTGTACAGTCAACAGAAAAGTCTGGGCGCTCTCTGGGAAAATGGATCTTATTGTTGACTTTCTGGGTGTGAATAAGTGAACACGTCCTCTACTGAGACACACTACTGCACACTTTAATACACTAGTACTGATAGTTGAGTACTGAGTTTAACATATTGGAAGAACACTAAATCTAAAATGTGGCCTGTGCAAAATGTTACGGTTACTTTTCCCCCAATACGTTAAAC